ACCCAGACAGCTACAAATATGCCTACGAATTCTCCAACTCCATCAAAGCCGAACAAGAGGGTACCCTGAGCGGTGATGCCTTGGTTGCCAAGGGCCAATACTCATTCACCGCACCCGAAGGCGATCAAGTTTCCGTACAATATGTTGCTGATGAAAACGGTTACCAAGTTTTGAGCGCCAACCCACCTCTACCAACCTCGCCACCAATTCCAGAGGCCATCTTGAAGGCTATCGCTTACATNGGAACAAGAGGGTACCCTGAGCGGTGATGCCTTGGTTGCCAAGGGCCAATACTCATTCACCGCACCCGAAGGCGATCAAGTTTCCGTGCAATATGTTGCTGATGAAAACGGTTACCAAGTTTTGAGCGCCAACCCACCTCTGCCAACCTCGCCACCAATTCCAGAGGCCATCTTGAAGGCTATCGCTTACATTCAGGCTCACCCACCCAAGGAATAAGCTGTTGTTATGTGCTTTAACACATTGATTGTTTCGTTTTTTACCTCTTTTTTGAATAAATGCATTCTAAGTCATTAGTATAAAATAGCAAAATTTTTAATATATTTTTAATGTCTCATAGTGAAATGTGGCTACTTTGTGCTCGAATGCAATGAGTTTAGTAAATTAATAAGGGCAATTCATTTAATAATTATGGTTTAATTTTTTTTTTTGGAAAGTAATACTAAGACTAATAATCATTCAAGAGCAATGGGTAAGAATTCGCTACTACATTCGATCTTACGTGAGAGGATTTCCTTCGTTAAAGAAAAAAAAACTAAAATCTCGGTAATGGCTTTAGATAAATCAATTGGAACATTTTTTTAAGGGTTTGAATAGGTTGTCAACCTGTTTAAAAAAAATTAAATTAAATTTTGGCGTTTTAGCGCCATGCGGGTCCACTGGTTTTGTAATAATGTTCATGGAAACAAGCTTTTTGTTCCGATCAAATTTTTTCAAAACCCATATAAAATTTGCGACTTCACAGCGCTCAAAGTAATAGGGGTGGCGACACTAAAGTTTGCGTAGATATGAACATAACAAGATTGACAGCTAAACTTAGGTTCAGAGGTTACGAGAAAAAATACGGGATCGAAATGGTTAATAATTTTGTGGAGGGGTACATTAGAAAAAACGAAAGACATTAAGCATTATTTCGCATAACATGCTCGTAATTTTTTCAATTGTTTACATTAAAATCGAAATTAAAAACTATCGAATTTAGCATATTTTTTTTTAAATTGGGGTTAAAAATCATGCGTTTTACGATAAGATGATTCTGACAATTTTTTTTGGAAAACTTCCTGTTTTTAGTGAAAATTTTACTTGGTTTAATTATGCAATATAAATGTGTGTAAATGTGTACCAATACTATTACTCTGAAAAAAACGGGGGTTTCCAAAATTTTACTACTGAAAAATATGCCCGTTTCGTATTATTTATTTCGCAACTGTAGCCAATTAGGAAAAATAAAACAACAGAAAACGGAATCAGAGAGCCAAAATTGGTATTATTATTTCAGATTATTACATACGATGTACAACTTATGAAGGATTTTATTAAAATCATTGTTTAATAAGCATTCTTTTATATTATTGAATTTCTTTTGGACTTTAAAATTTTTTTTTTTAATATTGTGAGGCTTTTTCGATAATTTGGCAGGCTATGCCTGTTTGTGGGTTTTTTTTTATCTTTTTAAAGAATTGGCAAGTTTTCCTGTGGTTTAGAACAAAGGATATCATATGAAAGGACAGACTTATAAATTTAAGAAAATCATAACCCTAAAAAATACATGAAAGTCAATAGCATTATTAACAGAATATAAATTAAATGAAAACAGCTTCAACTAATGGGAACTCGCACGATCATCAACTCAGCCAAAAATATTTACAAATTAGTAGCAAAATTTAATAATAAATATCTATGAAAATTAAACAAACTACGTTTTCTGCAACAAAACCGGTAAGTTTGATGGAAAACAGCGGCATTTCGAGGCTTGACCAGGACAACGGCACATACGAAAGTCGAAATCCTGGGTATGTCCCAGAAAAGGGAAACATCTAGCAGTGCTAGTCATACTAGTTTAGTTTAGCTGGCAGATCGCCAGCTCCAGAAGCTCTGCTATCCTCGTCGCGGTGCTTTATCGACTTCGCGTGCTCGACTGAGGCTTATGAATAATTTTCCCTACTGGCTTCAATGTAATTCAGTAGGGTGGAGAGATGTTCCTTCAGAAACTTTAACGTGCTCTGAACGTCGGTTACATGCTGATTTGATGCCAGCATCCTTTGTGCAGATCAAAAGAGTCGTTTATGTTGAAAGTCGCATAAGTCATTTCCACCTTATGTTACTAAATGGTTAGTTAATCCCAATTGAATGCACCTGTCTACCGGCAAAGCTTAATGATGAATCTTTTAACCTTTGGCTGAAAAAGTTTAACTAATAACAGGCGTGTTCACTGACAGACTGACTGACCTAAAGTTCTTTGGGGATACATGTAAGGTTTTGCCAACCTTGGGTACGAAGACTACTATAACCATCCACCGAAATTTCGTAATATAGCTCTACCAATCCGCAGACTTCTGCAGTTGGCCTTTAAATCCTTTCAAAGAAAGAGTTGATGGTCAAAAACAGGCAGTGATCATCCAAAATTTCCTAACTGCTGACTAGACATATAGATTTCTGCTACTCGCGGACATTTCTACATCCTCCGGTACAGATCTCAATTAGTTCTATTCAGATTCTTGTAAGACTCATTTCTATAAGGCGTTTCGTTCATTATAGCTAGACTAACTAGAGATTCTATTTAGATACTAGATCAGAAAAGGCCAGAGGAAAGGCTTGAGATCAAGGACCTGCTCCCTTATTGCTCAACGGCTTCGCTCTGGCTAACGCTGAAGTTAAGCCAAATATCTTGGCGCTATCAGTCCTGACGTCAGCAATTTTCTTACGGCTGCTCAGCCACGGTGGATTAAGAGTTAAACGGACGCTTCCCTATAGTGCTGAAAATTCCTCTGCAATGATCTTCTCCACCACTTTCGCGCAGAGCGCATATTTTTCATATTAGCTTTTTGTTGCTTGCTCAGTGTTGGCCTATAAATTGGATATTTCGCAGACACAAAATTGAAGCTGACATCGGCTGGCTTATGTTTTTACTTATTTTTTTTTGTTATTCGTATATCTTTCGAAACCTAAATTAAACACAAATTTCTAAAACTGCTTTTGGGTAACGATATAAAGAATTGTTA